AAATTCCGAGATTCCGTTTTCAACGCAACAATAATATTGTCAGTTTTACCAGAATCGCTCCGCCGATCCGTCATCAGAACCCCAAACCCGGAGATCATACAGAGCACGGCAGAGAACCCCTGGTGGAGTCTTCACCAATTTAGGGGAAAATTCCTTCCCAATCCCCAAAAAACAATCGAAGAATCCCAGAATCAGCAATCTGCAACGTGACTTTGTATCAATATTACAATCCAGTTTCATTTTGTTACTTAATAAACACATTTCAAGCTTTCTGAATCAATCAGCTCCTGGGGGGGAGGAGCATATGCTCCTCAGGGGAGGTCTCTATTTTATTAATTGCACTAATAAGTAGGGTTGCCACCTTTTCTTCAAGCGAAACCCGAACACCCCTGCGACGCGCAGACATTTTTTTGAGGGAATGAGTCACAGCCCATTCATATGTAAATATCACAGTTGAAACTATTTTCAGCGGGGGGCCAGTAGCCCCTATGTTAATTTTGGTTGCCCCTGTCTGCCTGACATCTTGTGTCCGGGTTTCAGCTGCCATGAAACCCGGACACAGCATTCAAAACCCGAACTGTCCGGGTGAATCCTGGACAGGTGGCGACCCAACTAATAAGAAACAATACAGAACAATAACGAGCAGAAATGACGGCGAGCGCCCCTAATAAATGCCACCAATGGGGATTGATACCCCGTGCTTTTCCTGTTGGGCTGCTCAGCAATATTAATGACGGGGGTCTCTAAGCAACTGCCCCTAACAACGGCGATAAGACGTTACCCATAGCAACTGCCCCACAATACAGAGATAACCGTCACACAAGCTCCAGGTTGTTACTGTCATACAGACGCGTCAGGGCCCCTCCGGGGAGCCCCGATGGAGGGAAGAAGTGACACGAGTCGCCTGTCCACACACTTTGCCTCGTTTCCATTTAATTGCCAGAAAAACACGAAATCTTCCCACAGATCAAATAATAATAATTTGGTGTTTAAATAGAATGTGAAAATACATTAAATTTGTTATATAGATTTCCTTTCATATATATAGAGATGTAACTCGCACAACATTAACACAAAACAAACCTTCCACATCCAGAACAAAAAAAACAAAAACATTTGGCGGTAAATTTCAGGCGTTGAAATCATCATCATCATCATCATTGTCATCATCATCATCATCGTCATCATCATCATCATCGTCATCATCATCATCATCATCGTCCGGCTACGTTCCCTTCACTTAAATAGGACACAATAAAAATATGAGGATCACGTTACGGCGCCTCACAAGGCCGTCCTTCAGCTGCGGGGAGGAGTGCATTGTCTCTGGCTCAGGAGCAGGTGGCGCAGGTCCGCGGGGGCGGGCACCGGG